AAAAAAAAAAAAGATTAAAAAAGTCACCATTAAGCTCACAAAGCCTGGCTGGGATTAATCCTCTAAGAGGAAGCAGAATACTGTAAGACAATTCAAAGTAAACTAATAGGAAGCAGCCTGGCTGAGTTTCAGCTCAGATACATACACATGTGCTATTTAATATTTTTGCTGCCCATCATTCTCTTATTCTATTTTTTGTAACCATTTAAAAAAGTATTTACAGGGGACCCTGCCCATATCCCCATGGCCAGACTGTGTGCTGAGGGCTTGACCTCAGTCCCGTAGTTAAGCCATGTCCATCACACTCCCCCGGCTGCAGGGTTGGTCCAGGGATGGTCACATGGCTCAGCCTGGCTCCATGACAGAAAGCCCCAGGATTTCTGATTGAGTGATGGCAGTGTCTCATTTCTGTTGGGCTTGAACCCGGGAAGGTGTGGCTCTAGAGTTTCCAGGGCCCTCCATCTGGGGCTGAGATGGCATGTGCACAGCTGAAGGCAGAGCTTAGAGGTGCAGCGAAATGATTTGTGAATCCACCTGTGTCCGAAGCGAACACTGCCCTAGACTTTTTATTGAAAAGACAGTTTCTTCCTTTACTTATTAAGGCAATTTGAGGGTCTTAACTGTTCAACCACTGTACACTCCTTGATAAAGATATGATGGGTTGGCATAAAATGCTGTTGAGACCAAACCCTGGTTCTCAAATTCATTTTAGCAGAGGGGTCAAAGTGGAACAGAAACAATATAATCTGGCAGGAGAAAAAACAAGCACAGAACTGATTTCCGGAGCTACATCTTCCTGAGGCACACCAGATACCCGGGTCTCAATCAGGACTCTATCCCGTGCTTCACGGACCTGACTGGAAACTTTTCATCAATGCAGAGACCAGCTACAAGGTTCCTGGGACTTAAAAAAACCTCTGTTTCCATTTAAGCACACCCACATGGAGACCTATTTGGCTCAAGTAAAATCTGACTTACCAATAAATGGTCTTATTGTCCATAAAAGTCTTTTATTAGAACAGGGTATTATTTGTAGCTTAAATCAGGTCAGAGCAACCTGATCTTTTTTGGCCAGTTCTAGGCATTTATTCACTCCTAGGAGTGAATGTGTGGCATAGCTCCTAGCAGTCAAAGGTTTTGATTCTGTGCTTCCCATAGAACTTTCTGTGATGATGGAAACATCCTACATGGGTGCTGCCCAGTATGGAAGACACTAGCCACATGTGATTACGGAGCACCTGAGGTGTGGCATGGAGTGACTGAAGAACTGAAGTTTTCATTTTATTTAAACTAATTTAAACAGCCATACATGGTTAGTAGCTGCCATACTGGGCAGCACAGGTATAGGTAAATCTTTTTTTTTTTTTTTTTTTTTTTTTTGAGAGTCTTGCTCTGTCGCCAGGCTGGAGTGCAGTGGCACGATCTCGGCCCACTGTAACCTCCGCCTCCTGGGTTCAAGCGATTCTCCTGCCTCAGCCTCCCAACAGCTGGGACTACAGGCACGTGCCACCATGCCCAGCTCATTTTTGCATTTTTGGTAGAGATGGGGTTTT